CCCCGGCCTGGGGACCTGTCCGGGCATCGCCTGTGTCAGTCTGTCCTGCAGACGCTCCTCCTCGACGTCACCTATTGTCCAAAAGCAAATATTACCTCTTGGATTGAGAGGTGGAGAGGGGAGCGCGTGTTTTAGCACGGCATTAGCCGGAGCAAACGCTGTTCTTCGGGTTGTAGCTCCTTCCCTGCTAATCTTGTGTCTTAAATCTTCCCACGCTGCGGATCAGGCGCTGTCTCCAGTAGGTTGGGAGCTGACGGGAGAGGCAGCCGGCATGAACACGGCTCCTTGCACCCTTCCAGCGTTTGGCTGCCTGCAGCGTGGCTCCGTCCGGGCACAAGGTGCCAAGGGTCTGGCTTGCTCTGCAGTTGGGGGCTTTTGGGGCAGGGAAGTGGAAGGAACGTGTTTTAAAAATCAACATAATTTAAATTTACGTTTTTGCTTTTTTGTGGGGTTAGAAAATGTGGTTGCAGAGAAAATGCTTTGTTGTTGCAACTAGGAGTGGCTGGAGTAACCTAAAATAGAAATGGGTTAATCTATACACCGCTACACAGTCATCTTCCTCATGAATTTCTGATTTGTCTGGTTGAGAGCATTTCTGTAGGTGACTGATGTTTGAGGATGTGCGCTATTTGTCATCTCCTGCCCCTAGGATTTGCTTGGCAACAAGCAGCTCTGCATCTTATATGTGGCAAGAGAAATCAAAGAGGCTTACGAGGACTAACTTGCCTAAAAGGCAGGAAAGGGGAAAACTTCAATGCTTGCTGCTCTGTCAGTGAATTCATGGCATGCACGCTAAAATAGTTGTGTCAAAAATACAGTAATATAAATCTGGGATGTTAAAAAGGGACAAAATAGTGTTTAATTATCTTGGGGCTTTTGTTACGTTTGTTTGCGTATATGTGCCAGTTGATGATTCCCAAAAACATCAAAGTAACACCGCTAAGAGCAGAGAATGATTATTTATTGCTCTTTGTCGAAGCCAACCTGATGTGCCAGGTGAGACTGTCTGACAGCCAGGTGATGCCTGTCTAGAATTCATTCATACCTTACTCCTACTCCAGTTTCCTCTTCTGTTTGTGTGCGTGACCAAGCTGTAGCTGCCCTCTGCAGTGTAGCTAGGCTTGCGGCTATGCGCTCGGGCTGCTGTGACAGCGAGTGCAGAAGCAGCGTGTAAGAAGCAGCTGGGGAACAAAGAATTGCACTTCGGTGCGTTCTGAATCACAGCTTCCTGCTCTACTCCCAACTTGGGTCTCACTGAGCTCTGAGGGACAACTGCTGTGGGCTGTACGCCATTCTCCCCAAAACTTGTTTTTGTTGAATATCCTGCGTGTATTTTAATGAGTATTTCAAAGAAGATGCTCTATTAATCTTTGAATAAGAAAGTGAATGTTTCCAAGTAATAGGAAGTTTAATTAAATCAGTGGTAGATCATTTCAGTAGAAAAAGCCTCTAAATATTATTATCAGTTTTCTATCATGTTTCTGATGTGTGAAGTCTAATATTGACTTTTGAATTACTTTTGTTTTCCTGTAATCTTGGAGAATCTTGTTTGCTACTCTTTGTCTGCAGGCTGAAGTATTCAAACAGATTCTGGCAAATGAAAGGAAAAATCCTACATTACAGCAAACACAAAGATCTACTCTTGATCTGGGAGATTAACCCATGCTAACAGGAGCCTAATTATTCCCTGTTTTCTCCCTATCATAGTATATTAATTTTTGAGGTATCTTTAAAGTTTGCTTTGAGCTTTTAGATTAGGTTTTATATACCTAAGCAATTTATGAGCAGTCTTACTACTTGAGACTATGGCTCTGTCAACTGACTTGCTAAATTCTGAATGGTCTTCATTGCTGCCGTTCAGTGTTTAATCTCATGCTATTTTAACCCTCACATTTTTAGAAGGAGGTAGAGTATGTGTTGCATGTCAGTCTCTAGTAGGATTACTTTGTAAATGAAGTTACTTTCAAGCTGTTTCTTGGCATTTGAAAATAGGTCCTTACAATACTGACCACAAAAACCCATGGTTTGTATATATTTGTATGACTTTGATTTTTTTTTATTTTGCTATTTTTTTGTGTGCTTGAGCACAGAAAATACCATTTTATAGTTCTCAACTGTGCAAATGTCTTTGTCCTCTGTTTCTGCTTCTGTTTTTTAGGTGCAGGATTATGTATGTTGTGTGACTCATTACTGTTCTCCTATTCTGTGTCTGCAGCTTGCTCCTGCTAGATGCATTATGCTGTACTTGTTCTGTTTCATAATAAAGTGTTGTTTACAAAACAGCTTTGTTAGTGTGTATGTAGGAAAAATGTATTTATTGCACCTGAATCCACCCTGCTGAGTCTAGCTTTGTAAGGTCTCTCAGTTCATTCTAAATAGCTCCTTATACTCAATGGCAGAAAGGCTTTTGGCACAAAACATTTAGTAAATGAATGAGGAAAAAGTATGACCTTTAAATAACTACCCCCAACCCTCACAAATTATTTACTTTGAATGTTTTAGTAGTATACCCCTTTGATTATTGTTAAATGGCAACTTTATAATCAGCACTACTTTTAGATTAAAAAAAAAATATTTTTTTAAGGTACTGGAGGCAGTGCTCAGTTTTAGCAGGCGAGATTTACATCTTGGAGTGCAGCCTTACAGACTTGAAGGGGGAGGCAGAGGAAACATGCAGAGCTTTGAGGAATATCTGTTGGGTTAGATTTTAAGGCACTGCTACTAGGTTTTCATGCTCAAAAAAACTTGCATTTCCAAGTCCTGAAATGTATGCAAATGAAATCTTCATCCAGAGAGGTTGTTAATAATGGTAGTTTGTTAGTAAGTGGAATTTGAAGGACATAAACCCTTCTGGACAGGACCTTCTTATTCTCTTGAAGTGCTGGTAATCTAATATAGGAACAGGAAAGGCCTTTGCATGTAAGCCTCCATTTTCTTTATGAACCAAGGACAGCCCTAGTATAAATAATACTACTTTGAAATTTTTTGCAGTCTTGCCCATATAGATGAGATCTGATTTTTGTGATCAAAAAGATCTATATAACGTCTTCAGAAATATAGTTTTGCAACCTCACTTACTCACAGAGAAAGAAAAAATACTGTGAAGGCAAAAACCCCACACAGGCCTAGGCCTTTGCAGCTTAAAAATAAACATCTGAAGTACATGTTTGGTTTTAAATTTGAGAAATTGCTAACTTAAAATTACTATTCCATTTAATTTAACACAGATGTTGATTTTACAAAAAGCTGTTTATGCTAAAGCAGAATTTAGTGTCCAAAAAGTCAATTAAAATAACACTGACGACTGTTCAGTGGGAAAGATAATCTCAAATCAAAACCAAGGGAGCCAAAACAGTTTGACCACCTGACTAGGGTAACTGTCACGTTCCTCCTGATTCTTCCGTCTCAGCTTTTCATGGTTTTGCTCAGAGCTCCGAAGTAAGTTTCTCTGCCTTTGCCACACTCCTCCCCTAATGCAGTTAAGTATCCCCCTTTTTCAGTTAAAAAAAAAAAAACCACCACATGCAGGGAGAAGCAAAAGTCTTTTTTTTTTTTTCACATTTATGCAAAACACCAGATGTGTGTACATAAGTGGAAAGGTATGTGGGTGGGATTATGGGCTTGCATTTGTAACTTGCAGACAAAATCATAGAACAGTGGGCCTAAGTGACTGTCTCGGAGTCATATCCACAGCCTGTTTCTGTGGCAAGGTTAAGCCTTTGGGGCAGAACGAGGTCTTTTGATTCTTCTTTTGCTTCAGCTGAATTTTGATTTGCACATCACTTTTGTGCTGGCCTCACTTCTTTCTTATTCATCAGACTGGCAAAACTGTCATCATGGATGCAGTTAAAAATATCTTAGACTACGTCTGCACTTAGGTACAGCTCAGCCTCAGTGTGTAGGCTCACCCTACTGTCAGTAAAGTGCTCCTGGTATAAGTGTGTCTCTACTAGACTGATACAGTCAAGATCTTCCCCAAGTCTAACATTGAATATTTTTCTTAGTATAACCAGCTGCGGTCTACGTGGTGGGCTGACCTGGGGCAGATGTGTTGATCTGATGCGTGAAAAGGTTATGTTTCCTGACCTGACAGCTAGGCGTAGCATCAACCTGAGTTGCGTATCCTTTTCCTGCTTCCCGCGTGGGACCTGTGCTCCGAGTTGTGTCACTTACAACGGTAGCAGGGTAGTTTGGCAAAAGAGATTTCACGCCTAAAGATCGGCTTTCATAGAATAGGGAAACTTTTTTTTTTCACCCCAGACTTCGAAGAGTGAGTGAGGTACATTTCATGGTGTTGTCATATAGGTGTCTCTGACCAGGCAAAGGAGAACTCAGATCTTAGTCAGCACACAAGAATGTTTAATTAAGAGAAAAGCTCTTAATAAGAGTCTTTGCTTTTAATCTTGTTACCTTTGCACATCCTTTGTGCTGTTGTGTCCAGTGTAATTACTACAAGTTGAGCAACAAAGTTCCTCCCTTCCCAGCCATTCTCAGTCCCAGTTTTAGAGCCTTTTGGTTCTTTTCAAGGCATGAGAAGGACAGAAAATCCTGAGATGTTTTGGTTTTGCTTTTGCCCTAATTTGCTTGGTATCTCTGGTTGTAACTTGTGTTGGACAAACCTGTTTACTCAGTAGAAGTTTCTGCATGCTGCCTGCTGCCAAATCTCTGGGTTGCAGGCATGCCTAAATAGTTGAAGGACAAGTGGATCTCTCTTTAAATCCTCTTTTTACATTCTGTGGACTGTAACAGTAAAAAAAATCCTGACCCAAGCAGGAGACTGTGCATAAATAACTGCTCTGAACAGTCCCTGGATAACCTGTCAGACAAAGATACCAGTATTTATTTTGCAAGAGGCAGTGTGAAAGCTCTAAACCTGAAGGTCATAAGCTGAGGACTGGTATTTCAGAAGATTTAAAAACAAATTGGTAGTTTTAAATGCCTTTATATTTTTACAGCAATTTAGTCCTGTCTTCCCTCTTTCCCAGCTAAAAAAAATATGCATTTCTGTATGAAAAAGACCTTGAGCTGGTCAAAGCACAGACTAAGATTATCCTGGTAAAAGTACAGTTTAACTGGGGATAACATTAGCTTTGCCAAGCTTTACTGCTTTTTCTCTGTAGCTGCCAAACTTTTTTTTTTGAGTACAGTCGTTCATTATTTCGCCAAACTAAATAAAATGTTGACCCTCAGGTAATCCCAGTGAGCAGAATTCCCCTGTGGTGTATTTGGGGTAGGCTCCTGATGAAAGGCAAGAAGACAAGTGAGCCACAGCGGTGTGGCTCGGGGCTCAGTGCCTGCTGAGGGCGTCTGTTCAGGAACGGTGTTTGCTGAAACTCCTAGTAGACTTACGTTTAACACAAAAGCCCTTGGGAGTCTGCTGAAGGACGCAGTGGCATCATTTGTTTGCTGTATGTGAGATGTTAGAGGAAAAGGCGAAAGTTTGTGGACAGTTGAAGGAAGTAGAGGAGTACCTCATTAAATGAATCTTGGCAAAGGTGAAATCGCTTTTGGCAAAGGTGAAATCGCTTTCCCCAGTATTTTTATCTCAGTTTTGCCAGAGCTGGTGAAGTCCTAGGTCTCGTACGTGTTTGGTTTTTTTATTCTCTCATATTTATAACCTCTTGCCAGGCCTCTGGGTCTGTTCTATGTTTCAATTCTGTACAAAATGTCAGCTTGGTATACAGGCCTTCAAATAGATTTAAATTTGATTATTTTAAGCTGAAGAGTATAGAAATTGTTAACAGAATTGTCTAGGTGATCAGGCAGTGTCTTCATTCTGCAACAGAAAATTTTCTCCCTGCCTCACTTGTACAACTCAATTTTTTTGTTTCTACAGACTTCTAGTAAATACTACAAATTCTCTTCTCTCTCTCCTGTGTGTTTGATCTGCTACACTGTTGTCCGTTGAGTAACTCCGTGGTCTGATCCCAGAGGGTGCTGCATTTGTAACTCTCTCCCCTCTTTCTGGGAGCATAACTTCATCCAATGCAACTGTGAATGTTAAGGACTTCTCAGGGTTGATCTTTCACTACAGGCTGTTCTAGAGGACAGTAATGGTCTCACAAAAATGAGTCTTTGTTTAGTTGCATGTTTGATTAACTGCAGGCTTTTGGCCTCGCAGTTGGACATTTGGATGTTTTCTTGCCGACTTCAGCTCTGACAAGGTATAGATGCTAAGACTGGGCATCGTAGTCTTGAAAGTGAGCAAGTTACAGTGAATAACATGGCCCTTGCAAACATGTTGATCTTAATAACTTTAGTTATGTTCTTCTGAGTTCTCTTTCTTTTGGTTTCCTAGTATCATATCTGATTTTTTTTTTCCCCTCCAGAATTAAAATTTAAAAATTGTTTGTTGCATTGACTTTTTTCTTTTCCAGTGAAAAACACCCAAGCCCGCCAAACCCCAATATCTCTCTTGAGCTCCATGATGTATGTATGGTTTTGCTGGGAGATTAACCTCTTGAAGACCATTCAGTGTTAACTGACTCATTGCCTCCTTATTCGTCTTCCGTCTGAGAGCTGTCAACACCTCCCACGCTTTGCAAATTCTAATCTAATCTTGATTCTATATCTTGATTATCTGTCAGATTAGAATCTCCTTAAAGAAGTTGTATTATTAATAGTCAAAATGTGTCAGAATCTGCAAGTGCAATGTATACATTGTTGGTTGGTTGGTTGGTTTTTTAATTGAAGTTGACCCCAGTGTACTTATTTTTTTAAAGCACAAATATTTGGTTAGTTTGTGTTGTTTCGTACTGAGATTTCAGCAAGACTCTTATCACTATTTAAGTTAGAAACAAAATTCCCTAAAAACAATCTTTTTGTTTAGATTCTTCTCAAATTCAGATGTGCCTGATGGTTGAGCATGAAGGGGAAAAAATACTGAATTTCCAAGGAGGTTACTTTCCTCAGTTACTGCACTTTCCTGAGTTCCTCCAGTCTCTGTTGAATTTGGTTGTTTCATGTTTGTGCCTGGTAATAGCCTGGAGAGGAGCACTGGCTGTTACACAGTGTCACAATTTGACACTAGTGTGTCAAAACCCCTGGTTGTGCTGGGGTCTTGAGTATAAAACACATCAGAAAGCACTTGCAGGAAGTTTTTCATCAATGCTCTCTGTTCCCCCCTTCCTTCCTTTCTCCTGCCTTTTCTGCACATTCAAACTGCTGTTAGATTTTTCATATTAAAATGCTGTTTTTTCCATATTTAACTTTTTCTTTTTCCAAATTTTGAGCTCGCTGGTATTGATTTTTCTCATTGCACATTCTCTGAATCTCTGGCAGAAGTCCTGGAGGGGATTTGGGAGCGAAGAAGAAGAAAAAGAAGCAGAAGAGAAAAAAGGAGAAACCAAATTCTGGAGGCACCAAATCAGATTCTGCGTCTGATTCCCAGGAGATTAAAATTCAACAGCCTTCAAAAGTGAGAGCCTGGTTCTGTTTTAATTTGTGCTTGCTTTCTAATTTAATTTTAATATGTGTGTTGCTTTTTGTAAAAGCAAGTTGATAGTTCTGCCTTAAGATGTCAGAATTAAGCAAATGGTTACTGTCCTGAATAGAGACAGAAGCAAGGTAAGACCTGGTGCAGACTGTGTGAAGTTATCTGGAGAGTCGTCGTTGCCACCACGGTTGTGTACTGTGAGAAAAGCAGAGGAGGAGGTGTTTTGTCTTTCTTTTCCAGCAGCTAGAACTCAGGCTAGTGACAGCTTCGTCACAGGGAATCTTAATCTGCAGTGGTAATGATTTTTAAATAGATTTTGTGTTTGATGAATTGCCTTTAGTTTAGCCACCATCTAACTTGGCTTAGTGCAGTTTCAGTAACTTGTACAGCATAATGCTATCTCATGGCAAGCATCAGCCGTAGGAGGGAAGGTGTACCTGCTGTGCTAACCAGAGTCTCATTTGGGCAAACAAGCAGCATGTCATTTTACATAAAATGAGGTAATCTCTAACATGGAGATACAGACTGAAGAAACTTTTTGCCATCTGAAAGGCATCTGCTGTAAATAAGAATGCAAAATTATGTGAGGAGATGTACAGTCTTTGTGGGCTTTGTGATAAAATAGCATTGTCTATGTGCTTTTGACTACAATGTTCTGAATGAACAGTGAATAATATGACATGGTGGCTTTTTAACATACAGCTTTTATCTCAAGAGAAATCAGCCTGAGAACTGAAGTTTATAACATGATGATAAGAAAGTTTATGGACCATTTAGCATGTTGAAGTAGTTATATTTGCTTTATCAGATTAATGTGGAGAAAGTTACACCATTGTACCAGTAGTTCTATTCATCCTGTAAGATTTGTCAAGTACATTGGGGCTACCAACTAATTTTAGGGGAAAAAGTTGTGTTCTGGCTCATTAACATACTGATGGATTTTATGTCGTCCCTTTAGATCCTCTCTGTGTCACCCCTATTGCTTTGAATGGGCACATTTGGCACAGGAGACACTTTAAAATAGGTAGAGAGATCTTAAGCACTTTCTGATCTCACCATGTGTTTTGATACTGTGTTTCTATAAAGCACGTGGCATGAATTGCTAATAATAGTAAAATGGTTTAGCTGCCTAGAGCTTGAGAGAAAGACTTAAGAGCTTTCTTTTATGCCAATAAAAGAAAATTTTGTTACATTTTGTTACATTGCTAACAAACTGGCTAACCAGTAAAATAATCATGAAGAGTGGCACTCTTCAAGTACACAACTTAGAACAAGGATAGGTTTCCACAGTTGCAAAATGCATCATGCCAGAGAAATGGTGTGCAAGACTGCAAGGTGCCAAGGACTAAAACCTTGCACATGAAAACAAAAAAAAAGTGAAGCAGCTTCCTTTTAATGCAATTAGAGGCAACATATGGAACAACAAGTTTGGTCAGCAGGTAACCAAGGAATTCCCAGGATACCACAGCAATGAACTATGTCTTTATATTAACATTAAAATTGACCTCACTCCAATTCTAAAAAAGTTTGAGGTTACTTGGTTATCGCTTCCAATCTAAGTTATTCTGTAACTATGTTGTGTAGGCCATTGGCTTCCACTTTTCTCTAGTTGCAAATGCATCAGCGTTGGCTGGGGGGGGGTTGCCTTCTCTGCTGTGTTCCAGGTGTACACTCTGATAAGTAGATGAGTTTCTTTGTCTTGGACAACTTTCCTGTTTTAGATTTTTTGAAAGCATCTTAGACTGCTGATCTGGGGCACTGTGGAGAAGTATATTTATTTTCTCTGCTACTCAAGTGATATGTAGATTTTGTATTCTTTGTGCTATTTGAAATATATTATAGAAAAAAGGCTTTTAGCATTTGCTTGCTTCTGCTTGAAGAGAGGTTTACAAAATATTTCAGAGGAAAGTGACATTGTACACCTTACCTCTAAGAGAATATATGTAGGATGATCAGGTAATAATCAGTGGGACTTCTGAACTCATTGAAAATTATTTTGAAAAAACATTTTGAGGTCAGGTGAGTTTGTAAACGGGTGTACCAGTCTGGAGATGAGAAAAACAGAAGAGTGAGTCCCCTTGGCTTCTCCCTTATTTGTGGTATTGGACTTTTTGAACACTGGCATGAGTGTAACCAGAGCAGTAAATGCTTGTTAGCATTGTATGCTTATGATGACCTTTAGGACATGTCACTGCCCATCTTGCAAGAATTTGATCTCTCCCCATTACAAGTCCCAGTGATGTAGACTGTCCACACTGACACAAATGAAGCTTGCCAGATCTGCAATATTATCAGTCATTAGTATAGTCTCCAATGGCCTACACAACATAGTTACAGAATAACTTAGATTGGAAGGGACCTCTGGAGGTCTTTCGACCAACCTCCTGCTTGGGGTAGATCCAAGTAGATTGGGTTGCTCAGGCCTAGACTAGGTTGTTTGGTCTCCAGGGATGGAGACTCCACAACCTCTGTGGGCAACCTATTCCAGTGTTTGACTACACTTGTGGTTAAAAATAGTTATATCTAAATTGATTTTGCTGGTTTGCAACTTGTGTCCATTGTTTCTTGTCATATCATTGTGCTCCTCTGAAAAGACTTGGCTCAGTTTTCTTTACATCCTCCCATTAGGCAGCAATAAGATTTCTCATAGTCTCTTAACCTTTTCTTCTTAAGGCTGAACAAACCAAGGTCTCTCATCATCTCCTTGTATGTCATATGCTTCAGCCCTTCAATCATCTTGGTGGCCCTCCATTGAACTCACTCCATTATGTCAATGTTTTCCTTGTAATGGGGAACCCAAAACTGTGAGATGTGATCTCAGAGGTGCCAGGTAAAGGGGAAGACTTGCTGACCAGTCTTACTGGTATGACCCAGTATTCAGCTGTCCTTCTTTGCTGGCCAGCAAACTGCTGTCTCGTGTTGAGCTCTCTGCTTGCTGGGACCTCCAACTTCTTTTCTGCAAAGCTGCTTCCTAGCCAGTCAGTGCTGGCCTCTGCCATTGCGTGGGCTTTTTCTGTCCCAGATGCAGGACTTTGCGTTTGCCTTTGTCAAACGTCATGAAGTTTCTGTTTCCAGCCTGTCAAAGTAGCTTTGAATAGCAGCTCTGCAGTCCAGCATATCTACTGTTCTTCCCAACTAGGTATCATCTATGACCTTGCAGAGAAAGCACTCTTTTGTCATGTCCAGATTGTTAAACAGTATTGACCCCTGAATTCTCAAAATCCTTCCCCTTGCCTTCTTGAAGACAGGTGTGACGTTTCCCTTTTTCCAGTTATAAGAAACCTCCACCAATTGCTATAACCTTTTAAACTTGATAGATGCTGGTTGCAGTAACATCAGCCAGCTCCCTCAGCACCCTCAGATGCATCTGGTCTGTTCTTACAGACCTGTGCATGATTAGTTTGCTAAGTGGTCCCTAACTTCCTCTCCTGCTGTGGTTAATGGGAGTCTCACAGACTGTGCTACAAGGCTCAGGGACACCAAAGATCTGAGGTCAGATCTTGTCACCAAAACTGAGGCAAAAAAGAGCATTGCGTACCTCAGTGCTGTTGCACAACAGTGCCGTCTTGTGCTGTGAGGAGATATTTTCCTAAATTGAAACACTAAACAAAATCACTCTTCTTTCTGATTCATGTGAAGTTCTGTGTAGATTTTTCTTGCTTTCCATTAAAGGAAAGCAAAAAGTGTTGAAAGTAAACTTCTTAGCCAGCCTGATCTCTGAATGTTTTGAAAGGAAAGGAGATGCCTTCTGATGTCCCTAGCCATGTTGTATGTAGTACCAGAACATGAACTTTTTACTCTACATATGCTAGTAAGATCTTTCTAGAACCTAATATCTTTTTTCTAGATTTTCTGTTTTCTTCTTCTTAATGTAGAAGAAACATTAGAGGCTTAAAACACACATACAAAATAAATTACAGTATGTCAATATTTATGTATGATACCATAATGTACTGATAAGATTTCAGAATTTATCTAGTGGCTTTAGAAGTATTTGTATCAGACCAGTGTGTAATAGACAAATTGGTTTTTAGTTGAGAAAAGTAACTTATGTCACTGTAATCTGGAAATAGGGTAGGTTTTTTATGCTGCAATAGTGTTTCACTAAAGTGTGTAAATATGTTAATTCACAACTACTCAGATGACAGGTGTTTAAAGCATGCTCACAGGTAAAGTTTTGCAGTACTTAAATTAGTGAAAGAAATTGCATAATGTTTAGAAAGTACAAATTTTTATTATAAATAGAAAATGATGGCCTGCTTCAGCTACAGGCAGGGAGTTTTACTCCTTTTGTGACTGAGGATACTAGAGGCAGATGCCCATCCAAATGAAGCTTTACATCATTATTACATGTAATTTGTGGTGGGTTTTCAACACATGAATCCTAGAAAAAAAGTGAAATACGGAAATAGTGATTCATTGACATTCAGTAAAAAAAAAAATCTGTCTCGAAATCTATATGCAGAATTGCTTAAAATTTTCCAATGCATTTGAGACTATTCCTTCAAAATGTATTTATTGCACTGCAGTCTGGGAAAACCTGAACACAAGCATACTGTTAGTATGCCTCAGAACAGGACTTCCCACTTGGGAGATAACAAAACAAAACAAATAAATAGATTAACAAAGACAGGGAGGAAAAATCCCTTTCGATTTACATGTCTGTTACAATTATTCCTCCATGCTTCCCTATGCAGGTGGAATTCTCATTCCAGTTACACTTACTCAGAGTGATGAAAAGTGAGGGTTTAAGAGCTCAGTTTAGAAATGCTTAGCCTTAGGTTGTATGCTTTTCAAATAACTTTTCTATAAAGATTTTTCAGCTTTTAAGTGGAAAGTTGGATTATTTTATGTCTGTCTGCTTCTATTGGTTAAAGTTATCTTTAGTTGTGAGTATTGGCACAGTTGGCATTAGTTGCAAGATGGTTAACTCGTATGTATGATACGATGCAGAAAGGTACCTACTGTAATAATTGCAAGCTAACAGAAGGCAGATACAACATAACTAAGGTTAAAAAGTTGATATTTGTAGCAATACGGTGTACCTGGAATACCTAACCATAGTGAGTTTAAATGGTATTTTATATTGTATGTGTAAAGTACTACTTCAAACATCTCTGTGTGTACCAATGGTATCTTTAGATTGTTAGATGTCTAAGCTGATCTGCTTTTTGCTCTTTTATTGTATTTTACTGGGGGGCGGGGAGCAGGGAGCTTTTTATTGTGATACTGGTATCCTGCCTTAATGTTGCAGTATTTGTTTAAAATGCTGAAGTTTCATGGCTAGATGCAAGCCCTACTCAAAACTATTAAGTATTTTGTGAAGTTGCTTGTCTGTTGCCCACCTAACTTCCCACCCTCCTGCCTCCGAAGGTTATACCTAAAATAACCATGATGAGGAAAAGTACATGAAAGAATACATAACAGTAAAATAAATGAACATGTTTGTACAACTTGTTCAAAGTAAACATACTCAGTAAGCTGCCTCTTCCGTTTGTCTCTGCAGAATCCAGCCATTCCAATGCAGAAGCTTCAAGACATCCAGAGAGCGATGGAGCTGCTCTCTGCATGCCAAGGCCCAGCAAAGAATATTGATGAGGCTACCAAACGTAAATACCAGTTTTGGGATACACAACCTGTACCTAAACTTAGTAAGTTTAACTGGACCTGGGCATAAGATCTGTCTTACTGACCACTAAAAGAATGTGTGCCAGCTGTGTGACATGTTCTCTAAAATGGGTATGAAGTTGGACTGTGTGCAGTAGAGTTCCTTAATCTTTTGCGTAGTTGATGTGGTATTCTTCATGTTCTCTAGGAAAGTGCTTGCCCTGCCTCCCTCCCCCCGCCAAATGATATACAACAAACTAGGGTGTTAATAAGTCTCATTCTGGTGTTCTCTATAAAAATGGGAAATGCTACTGAAATAGCATTCCTCTGTATATTTTAGGTCTGAACTCTTGAACAACAGAATGTGGAAGTCTTTTCCGCTTCAGGGAAAATAAGAATTCTTAAGTGGTGATAAAGAGTAAACTTTGGGTTTACTTATTTTTTTTATTTATTTTCCCTTTTTTTTTTTTGTTTAAATAGATAGATTTGCTGTCACAGAGATACAATGACTCTCCTGCTGTAGGTTACACTATTTTCATGCAGCTGTAAGTGGGTAACGGTGCTTCTCTCGTGTGTGAACACTTGTATTGCTGTGTGTTCCCGTGCTTCCTCCACAATGTACGCTACCTTGAAGACATGCTTTCTCAGAGTCCTTCCTCTCTTCTTGGTATCAAGTGAGGTGGTGAGGTGACCTCTCCTTGCCTCTAATTTTGTAAGGAATTTGGCAGATTACTTTTTATACTGATCTGATGCCTGATAACACACTTGGTAAATCTTAGTCTTTGTTGGGGAGGGTAGTTGCTGGCTCACTTGCTTTTTCTGAATTGCTTTATGAACCTTCTTTCCCCTTCATTATCTTCAAGGTAAGCAGTTGTAGCTCTTCAGTGCCAATGAAACTTGGGGACACCACAAATAAAGCTGTCTCGGTGCAATAGCTGTCACTGTTCTGTTCTGCAGGTTTCTCTCCATGGCGTTGGAGACTGGTGTAGAATAAGCAGAAATAAGGTAGAGTCTAAAGCACAGGAGCACTCTGCTCGCTCTCTCTCCACAGGGCAGCATTTTGCTTTAATCCATTTGTATAGATTAATCCACAGTGATCTCATTTCTCCCTGACTTCTTTGCATAGAGAAGTCCAGAGCAGAGTCCTTGGATGCAATATTTTTCCACTGAACTGACCTGCCCTGGCTTTTCTCCACACAAATGATGCAGGTATCTCTGTAAACTAATGGTAGTAATTGTCACAGTAATCCCGCCTAGGTGGAGGAAGAGCTTAGCCAAAATAAGCTGATGTGTAAATCAAAAAATACTCTGGCCATAACAAAGCTTTTTCAGAGCTAGTTCAGGTGTCTGCACAGCGGTTCCAGGAGTTGGGTTCGGGTTAGTCAATGTATCTTACAGCACTCCTATAGACATGAGTGTCTGTCACTTGCTAGCCTAAAAGACCCAATACATTGGCTCAAAAATGATTTGTTAGTGTTGTTGAGTAGAAATATGCTTTGTTGAATTTGGCTGGCAGAGGTTTTGTTCAACAGTGTTTATGAATTGTTTCTTGATCCTGTTGATTTCCGCCCCCGCCCAGCTTTTCCTTTATCTGCTGAATGAACATATTGGGAAGTCTTCACTATTTGATGTGCTGGATATGTTTAGGTGGAAAAAAATAATCTGTTGATTCAAGAAATACTTTTAGGAATCTTTGGATTAAATTCACTTCAGAATCCTTCTGCCTTTTAGTTAAGGTTGTTAGCAGTGGGTCCTTTAGTTAGGCCAAGTCTGCCATGTAGTGGCAGTACCAGTTAAGCTGTTGATACTTTCCAGAGTTTGCGTAAAGATGTTAGTAATGGTGACCTTCCAAACTGGATGGCAGGCCATAACTATTCGTCAGGATTGCACATCATTTGGGAAAAGTTCATACTACAAAGGAATGTTTGACTGGCTAGAGCTTGATGACAGTGACAACAGGGTTGAGTGTTTATGGGTAAGAATTAGGGGGAAGGCAGATACCATGGTGGGAGTCTGTTATAGACCACCCAACCAGGATGAAGAGGCAGACAAAATATTCTATAAGCATCTGGGAGAAGTCTCACAGTCGCTAGCCCTTGTTCTCGTGGGGGACTTCAACCTACCACGTGTCTGCTGGAAATGCAATACAGCAGAGAGGAAACAGTCTAGGAGGTTCCTGAGTGTGTGGAAGATAACTTTCTGACACAGCTGGTGAGTGAGCCACCTAGGGAAGGTGCCCCACTGGACATGTTGTTTGCAACCAGAGAAGGACTTGTGGGTCATGTGACAGTTGGAGGCTGTCTTGGGCACAGTGATCATGAAATGAAAGAGTTTTAGGTTCTCGGAGAAGTGAGGAGGGGGTCAGCAGAACTGCCACCTTGGACTCCTAGAGGGCAGACTTTGGCCTGTTCAGGAGACTGGTTGACAGAGTCCCTTGGGAGGCAGTCCTGAAGGCAAAGGAGTCCAGGAAGGCTGGACATTCTTCAAGAAGGAAATCTTAAAGGTGCAGGAGCAGGCCGTCCCCATGTGCTGAAAGAGGAAGTGGAGGGGAAGACCACCAGCCTGGCTGAGCAGAGAGCTTTGGCTGGAACTCAGGGGGGAAAAAAAAAAGAGAGTTTATGGCCTTTGGCAGAAGGGGGAGGCAACTCAGGAAGACTACAAGGATGTCATGATGTTATGCAGGGAGAAAATTAGAAGGGCCAAAGGCCAACTAGAATTTAGTCTGGCTACTGCTGTAAAAGACAATAAAAAAATGTTTATATAAATACATTAGCAACAAAAGGGGGGCTCAGGAGAATCTCCATCATTTATTGGATGTGGGGGGAAACATAGTGACAAAGGGTGAGGAAAAGGCTGCAGTACGTAATGCCTTCTTTGTCTCAATCTTTAATAGTAAGACCAGTTGTTCTCCAGGTATCCAGCCCACTGAGCTGGAAGACAGGGACGGGGAGCAGAATGAAGCCCCCATAATCCAAGGGGAAATGCTTAGCGACTTGCTACACCACTTAGACACACACAAGTCTATGGGGCCAGATGGGGTCCACCCAAGGGGACTGAGGGATCTGGTGGAAGTGCTCACCAAGCCACTTTCCATCCTTTATCAGCAGTCCTGGCTAACTGGGGAGGTCCCAGTTGACTGGAGGTTAGCAAATGTGACGCCCATCTACAAGACAGGCTGGAAGGAGGATCTGGGGAACTACAGGCCTGTCATTCTGACTTCAGTGCCAGGGAAGGTTATGGAGCAGATCATCTTGAGTGCCATCACACAGCACGTACAGGACAACCAGGCAATCAGGCCCAGTCAGCTTGGGTTTATGAAAGGCAGGTCCTGCTTGACTAACCTGATCTCCTTCTATGACAAGGTGACCCACTTAGTGGATGAAGGAAAGGCTGTGGATGTCATCTACCTGGACTTTAGTAAAGTTTTTGACACTGTCTCCCACAGCATTTTCCCAGAGAAACTGGCTGCTCATGGCTTGGATGAGCATACTCTTCGCTTGGTAAAAAACTGGCTGGGTGGCCAAGCCCAGAGAGTTGTGGTGAATGGAGTTAAATCTAGTTGGTGGCCAGTCACAAGTGGTGTTCCCCAGGGGTCTGTTTTGGGGCCAGTCCTATTTAATATCTTTATCAATGATCTGGACATAGGGATCGAGTGCACCCTCAGGAAGTTTGCAGATCACACCAAGTTGGGCGGGAGTGTTGATCTGCTTGAGGGTAGGAAGGCTCTACAGAGGGATCTGGACAGGCTGGACCAATGGGCTGAGGCCAACTGTATGAGGTTCAACAAGGCCAAGTGCCGGGTCCTGCACTTGGGTCACAACAACCCCATGCAACGCTACAGGCTTGGGGAAGAGTGGCTGGAAAGCTGCCTGGCGGAAAAGGGCCCGGGGGTGTTTGTTGACAGCCGGCTGAATATGAGCCAGCAGTGTGCCCAGGTGGCCAAGGCGGCCAACAGCGTCCTGGCTTGTATCAGGAATAGTGTGGCCAGCAGGACTAGGGAAGTGATCGTCCCCCTGTACTTGGCACTGGTGAGGCTGCACCTCAAATACTGCATTCAGTTTTGGGCCCCTCAATACAAGAAAGACATTGAGGTGCTGGAGCATGTCCAGAGAAGGGCAACAAAGCTGGTGAAGGGTCTGGAGCACAAGTCTTACGAGGAGAGGCTGAGGCAACTGGGGTTGTTTAGCTTGGAGAAAAAGAGGCCGAGGGGAGACCTTATCACTCTCTACAACTACCTGAAAGGAGGTTGTAGTGAGGTGGGTGTTGGTCTCTTCTCCCAAGTAACGAGCGATAGGACGAAACGGCCTCAAGTTGCATTGGGGAGGTACTGAGGAACTGGAGTTGTAAAGTAAGGGAGGAGAAGAAAGCACGCTTTCATGTAGGAGTTTAGGAACAAGTTTCACATTTCACCAGCATGCCTTAAATGCTCTGGCTTTGCCATGCTACTTCCTCTGAGTAATCCTGTTGAGTTGAGGTCTGTTCAATTCAGTGGTAAACAGGATTGGAGCCATAGCTTTTTAGCTGCGAGTACAACATGTTTCTTGTGGTGAGACCATGGATCTCGTGGCTGGCTAAATGCTGTGCACATGCTGATAAATTGCTCTCCTGTGTTATGAAATACTGGGTATCAGTTGAGGTAGAGTAGTTCTGTCATATCTATAGATACTCTGATGAGACAGTCATTAGTCTGAATGTGATCTGTGAGAATGAGTAGTGTAACCTAGTAATACTTTTTTTCAGCATTTTTTAAAAGCTTCATGTTCCTATCACATAATTATGAGAAAATAAATGATGTGAGTTAAATGCAGTTTTGAGACTATCAGGAAAGCTAGCAATGTAACTCGTTTTTTTTCTTTCTTTTTTTTTCTCCCCTCCTCCTCCTTCAAAAGATGAAGTTATAACTTCACATGGTGCAATTGAACCAGATAAGGACAATGTCCGCCTAGAGCCATATTCTTTGCCACAAGGTTTTATGTGGGACACATTGGATCTTAGCAATGCTGAAGTTGTAAGTAAAACGATTTTTATATGTATCTAAAATAATTGAAGTTTATTCTGATTGATGTGTGTGGGTAAATCTTTGGATTTTTTTGTGTGTGTTTTCAGCTGAAGGAGTTATACACACTGTTAAATGAGAATTACGTAGAAGATGATGATAATATGTTTAGGTTTGATTATTCACCTGAATTTCTTCTGTGGTGAGTAGCAAGTTCCACATTCTGCTCTGGCTGGAGTGCAAAGAAGGGTGTTTTTATTACATCTTCTTAGGCAGTAATTTGTAATTATTTCTGTCATCAATTGTAGGGCACTACGTCCTCCGGGCTGGTTGCCCCAATGGCACTGTGGGGTTAGAGTGTCTTCAAACAAAAAACTGGTGGGATTCATAAGTGCCATCCCTGCAAATATTCGTATTTATGACAGGTAAAATGCACCACTACTTTTGTATTTGTAAAACAATAACACCATGAAACAAATATTAAACTAGTATCCATTGCCATAGAGAATGTAAAAAGAGAGAAGGAGGCTCACTGACCGTAAAGAGTTGGAAGAATCCTGTGTATGTAGCAGAGTTGGTTTTTTGGTTTGTTTTTTTTTTTTTTCACACCCCCCCCCCCCCCAAAAAAAGAAAAAAAAAAAAAGAAAAATCAAAAAAGCTTGTGGACTACTTGCAATGAAGACCAGTATATTTAAGGAATTTTCTTATTGATGGATGATACAGGTAACAACATAGAATTTTCTGACCCTACTGGAAAGTATTTAAAGGATAGTCAGTCAGCTGAACTTCCTTAGCCAGGTCTTCATACACTGACACAATCATAAAGTATTATGATACCATGTAGCATGCGCTTGGATGGTGTTCTGCATCTTAGTGAGGCCATTGGTTAAGTCTTGACAGAGCGCTGAAAAAGGAGTGTTGCAAACACCTTACACATAGCTTGCATATTGCACAATTTGCCGTTGCAGTTGCAATATCATAGATTAGTATTTGTTGCAGATGTACTTTGTCACACACCAATTTATTTTTACCTGAAATTCTTCTGTCACAACATGGAAGACTACAATTATGCAAATGAAAATATGCAATGTGCAACTCTTTTTAACTTTTCCACTATTTAATGTCCTTTTAGTGTGAAGAAAATGGTAGAAATCAACTTTCTGTGTGTTCATAAGAAACTGAGATCTAAACGGGTAGCACCTGTACTGATTCGGGAAATAACCAGAAGAGTAAACCTGGAAGGAATTTTTCAGGCTGTTTACACTGCTGGAGTGGTACTCCCCAAACCTGTGGCCACTTGCAGGTAACCTAGGTGATGTTCATAATAATATTGGTTCCTATAGCAGACATTTTAAAGAACATTTTATGTAATTGACTAGGAACAATAAAAGCATAAAATTCAAAGAAATTAAATGTTGTGGCCTTGACTAACCTGAAGACCTGAGTGTTTGTCAGGGTGGTGGGTTTTGTTTCTTTCTTTCTTTATTTATTTATTTATTTTTTCCCCTTTCCTCCCAGTGCCTTGGATAAAACAGCTTCTCAGACTAAAATCTAATATTGGGTTTGTTTATCATACCTTAAATACACTAATAAATGTTTCTGTTGACCTTCTGGTGGAAGCCATGCTAGCAATGACAACATTGTATACCCGTGTTTGTCAAGTGTCCTGTTTCCCTGCTGGGACACTTCCCTGTTGACCTGGTTGCTTGCCAAAGACGGTGGAGCATTTTGGGGAATTACATGATTTGCTTTTTTGAAATACTTTCATCTTTCCTGGAGAAAGGAGGACTTAATCGGCATTTGATAAAGATGGGGAAAACCATCACATGAGAAGAGTTGTATGTAATCAAGTATAATTTTGTTTGCTTGGAATGGATTTTATTTCTGCTGGGAAGGTTCAGTTCCAGCAGTATTAGTTCAGCTGTCTATCCATCTGGAGGACAGGGTACTTTTTGAAATTGTGTTTGTACCTATCAACACCAAAGATCCTGTAAGTTTCTGTAAGGAAGGATGGAAAAGAAAAAAAAAAAAAAAGTCATGCTGTGTTAGAGTAACCAGGGATGTTCTGTTGCACAATGATCTCCTAGGAAGAGGAAATGTTCAACAAACTACTTAGACATGTGCAGAGGGTCCTGTCTGTACAAGAAAATAAATGGTACCATGTAAGTATGGTGAGATTGTCAGGGCTATGGCAAGTACTAAAACGTTTAGCCCTGTGATTACTCATTCTATAATAAAAAGCATTTACTTAGATTCAAAATATGGTGATAGCAGGCCTGTTTAAAAACTATTGCTTGGATATAGCTTTTCCTTATCTTTTGTTGCTCAAGCTGCTTACAGACATAGTACAGGCTTGCTTAGAAACAAATTTGGAGAGGAGAAGGAGCAATGTCAGAAAGTAGGGAAATGGATGCAAGTAAAGCTGACACTTAAAATACTGTTTAATCTCATTATTAATTTTATTTCCAGGTACTGGCATCGATCACTGAATCCCAGAAAATTGGTGGAGGTGAAATTTTCACATTTGAGTAGAAACATGACTCTACAAAGAACAATGAAGCTCTACAGACTTCCTGATGTAAGCAGTGTGACTTCTAGAGAATCCCCACAGTTATTATAAGGCCCAAAATAACCTTCCATCTGTCTCTGACAGCACAGGCTTTTCTGTGGAAAGGCAGTGCATGCAGGACATTTGAAAAAAAAAACAAAAACAAAAAACAAAACTCTCATGAAAAAGACCTTAAGGGCTGTACTAAACAGAAGAGACTATTGCTGGAGATGTAGATCTGTATATGGAGAAAATACAAATTTTGACCTAAAAGCCTTAAACAAACAGAAAAAATCAGAAACCTTGACTTCATAAACATGTGGGATTGAGTTGAAGATGCATAAAACTATTCTCGGTATGATTAATCTGATAAAAGATTACTGGAACAGAAAATTAACAGTTCATTTCTTAAAATTCTCAGAGAAGTCCATCAGAAAGTTGGCTGAGTACTGTGGGATTGTTGATTCCACTCTAATTCACAGCTTTTTCTGTTCTGTCAGAGAATATTGTTCTTCTGCAATGAGCAGGCTCAGCAAAAGCCACCTCAGTATGTTGTGTACTGTTTATTTGCACGGTCTAGGAAAAAAAAATAAAAAAAGTGTTCTGGCATAGCTAGGTTAGTTAAAAATATTTTTTTCATGTTTGCAGCTAATACTTAGGCTTGTAAAAAGCCTTAGGATGCATTTCCATGACAGGGCAAGTCACTGTAAGTAGTCTGAGATGTACTATTAAAAAATCTCACTGCTGTAATTAATAGCCTATAGAAACTAGTCTAAGCTTTACAATTGAAAACAGTTTCTTTGCTTGTGAAAGCTATCTTTCTATTTGGAGGGACTGCAGAATATCCTTTACCTGTACCATACCGGTAAACATGTTTTTTTTTATTTAAACAAACCCTCACTTTTTGTTAAAAAAATACTTTTTTCTCACTCGTAGTACTTTATAATGATTTATTTGACTTTGGAGAATTGTGTGTGTTGGTTATATTTAGCTTGATGCTGCAGGTTCTCTTACTACTTAAATATTTGAGTAATACACTAAGCACTCTTCAGTATAAAGCACGTGCCATGGCTTGATCTGAACTCCTGCTGCTGTCAGAGACACATTTCCTGTGCTGCCTGCACACGCACGTTCTCCCTTGCATGCAGGGCAGCAGTTTTCAGAGCTTAAGAATTAATAACCAAATTAATTAGGTTTTCATCTTGGAGAGCTAAATATAGCTTCAATCAAATCTTGAAGACATTTTTAATAGTCTAAAAAAGCACGGTAGACAATTTCAAATATAGGTTTTTGTGGCAACTCTAGTACTGTTTCTCATGGAAGCAATACAGGAAAAGATAGTTTAAAGAATAAGGATCTTACAGTACAAAAAGTGTAACTACAGCGAATCATTAGAAACAACAGCAGTTGTACCCTAATCATCTTTATCATAAACCCCAGATTTCAACAGAAAATTAAATTATGGAAAACAAAGAATACATCATGTCTCATTCATAATATCTCTATATTATGAGGCAAACATACTGTAGAGAGATGTGGTACTTTGAAAATCAGCTTTTAAAACTAAGTGATGTAGGAGGCCATATGCCTCAGCAGTTTGTTTATTTTTTAGATTGGACTTGGGAGCTTCTTCCATGGAAAATAAAGATTTAATCTTTGTGCTAATGTTATCTCTTTAGGTCTTGTGCTTTGGCGTTTTTTGGAGTTTTTTTCCTAAGAAAGGGTTTAAGTGCTATTGAGGATCTTTATCCTCAGTTTCAGGCTGTTATCATAAACTGTACTGTCACACAAATTTCATCCAGGCCACGCTGTCCTTTCCCTCGGCACCAAACACTGTTTCTTGCATTTTAACCTCTTTTCTTAGGGTCCTTGGAATATCATTGCCACTGGAAGCTCATCTCCCTTTGAGAGGAATCATTCCTAATCACTTGAACAGTCTGAATTTAAAAGGTTTTCAGAAATAATAAATACTGTAATTGAAAAATACCATGCTCACTGAAGGCTGTGTTTGTGCATGTACCTATAGATATTAAAAAATAAAGTTTTTTTTTTCTAAGTGTTTAATCTGTTGAGCAAGGAGTTTTCTGAAAGACATAAATTTTGGCTGTGTGTAGAATAAGGACAGGAGCATGTGTGTCTCTGTATGTCTTTTCCTGGCTGATTAAGATCCTGAGCCAGGATATACACATGAATATATGCCCAGTGCAGCTTGATATGTGGAGCAGAGAAACAAATTTTAGCCCAGTTCTGTACACTTTCCCTGACTTCTGGGGCTGCAAATAATCATTTACCAGTGGCCATTCTGAGCGTTGCTGGGGGATAAAGATATTCTAGCCCAGCTGCTTTTCCTCTCATCTTGCTCCAGTGTATGGCTTTGGAAGAGGGACGAAGGCTTGGAGGGAGCCAAAAGTAACCTTTCATACTGTAGTTCATAAGGAGGTTATGAATGAAATATGGCATAGTAAGCATCACATTGATGAGTCAGGTGAATACTCTTATGGATTCAGGGCATTTAAAAATGTAGATGATGTGCTGTTGTGGAGGCAAAACATAGTCCCAAGCTGCTCCGGAAAGCAGGAAGACTAAAATGTAATACACAGGCCAGAGCTGTGGCAAAACGTGCCTTGATTTTTCATCTGACTGCTGACTCCCAAAGTATGTGAATAAATACTCCCCCAGAATAATGCCTTTTGAGCAGAGCATAATCAGCTATACTAATTTCAGGCTTCCAGTAATCAAGTCTCTACCTGGCTGCTCTTGCAATTGACTTTGCTATGATTAATGTGATACGTGCCCAAGTACATAGCTCAGACAGATGAAGCAGGATAAATGAGCTCTGAAGAGAACAAGCCTTAGCCTCTCTAAAAGGAAATATTCAGGAAAGCTAACAAAAGTCGGGGAGAAAACTTTAATCACCTTTGCTTGTTTAAACATGAATTGCATAGTACTAGAAAGCAATTTTTTCCTCTTCTGATGTTTAAAGTCAAATAAATAACTTTATTTGTTAAAATACTGTAGTTTTTTAATTTCAGGGAGCTGTAAGTTATGAGAAGCTTTCTTGTTAACAGAATAGCAGTTGTGCCTGTATAGAATGTTCAGTTAGCCAGGGAGTTTGCGAAGTGTTAAGAATAGGTGAATTTTTTTTATTAAATAATTTCTAATAAGTTTGAATCGCAAATGTTCTTGTCTTCAGATTAACTTCTGATATGCAAGTCGCTTTATGTTTTGTTTCTGTGTCTGGGCCCTAGGTAGTTTAGCAGAAGATAAGAAATAAACACTGACCTAAAAAAAACCCCAACCAAATAAAAACAAAAAAACCAAAATGCATGAAGTCTAGGCTGTTGGCAGTTGTATTTCTTTCTCTGGAGAAATGAAGTTGTTTCAATAATGAAATATAAAGATTGAAGTGCCCCAGACTGTCTCAATAATTAGAAGAGAGGGAACTCTGATTGAAAGCCGTTTGTAAAATAGCATAATGAATTAGGTGGCTGGGGTAAAGTAGGCTAATAATGAATGCATAGCAAGTGGAGTGACTCTGCAACCTACTTTCAGCCTTTGCTGTGTACGCAGTTTTCCTTTCAACATCTTAACATTTATTTTTCTTTTGTTACAATAAGGCCACAAAGACTTCGGGTTTGAGACCAATGGAACAAAAAGATACTAAAGCAGTGCAAGAATTAATCAACACTTACTTGAAACAGTTTAATCTTGCTCCTGTGATGGATGAAGAAGAGGTAGCCCACTGGTTCCTGCCTCGGGATCATATTATTGACACTTACGTAGTAGAGGTAAAACATGACCTACCTACTTCATGAACGTGTATGTGAATGCCACTTGCAAAAGCTCATATCAGCATCAAGTTTTTGAAATGTGAACAGTGTGAAAAATGTGTGCTATAGTTAGAATTTGGTATCATGATTCCAGGTTTTGTTCTTTGTATTGCATTCTGTTAATGAGAAAATGTTTGGTTGTGATAAACTGCAGTGCTCTTGTACAGGATATTTTAAAGAAGAATTTTGAAATCTCAAAATATCACTACCTTGGAAATATTACAGCAAAGAACCTTACATATTTTAAAAACAACCCTTCCACCTGCATTCCTCCATATTTTCTGTAGAGAGATGACATGATAATGAGCAGTGGTCTTCAAATCTACTTTCCTAGAAAAAAGGAAAAATGATACAATGACTCAGAGAAGGATTTGGTTTGAATTCAGTATCATTCTCTCAGCTCTCTAAGTTTCTGCCATACACCAGGTCAAAATTCTTTATTTTTAAAACCAATTTTAGGGGCACCTGCTGGAGGAATTATGTTTCTTGATGGTCTGCTTCAGTAAAATATATTTTTTCTCATAAAAGAGTGTGTGTATATATATGTATATGAATTTGTACGTTTCTGTGTGTGCATATATATACATGTGTATGCACGAGTATATGTAATATGGAGAGGTTCATCTTGAGTGAACTCAACAGACAAGTGC